GAAGTTGATTTTTTGTCTTCGGCAAAGGCTTCATTGAACGAATATCTTTCATTCTATTAAGTTTAATAAAGTCTTTGTCTATATTTTTGCATGAAGCACCGTAGCTCTTAGATGAACTAACTACTCAGAATCTCTTTTTTGTATTTCAGGACTTCATCAATACGGTTTTTATATTATTAAAATATCATGCATCTTTTATTCATAATAAATGTCACCTTAAAACAAATTATGTAGATCACATATATTTTATCTTCTATACATATATAGGACAAACTACCCCTTTGTTCTATCTAGGAGTACTTGCATTTGCACGGCACATGTTCCAACTCGCATGCAATTTTATGTGTTCTATTATAACGTACAAAGTTCTTCGCCTAGGACACGACAGGAGGTAACGAAATAAACACTATTGTTTGTTTGTAAAAGTGCCAATTAGAATATTTGTGTCTACTAAAAACATTTAATATACTATATCCACTTATTAGCTAAATAGTTGTAGCAATTATGCGTCAAAAGTATTATGAATAAAACAATATATAATTCAATAGGTTAGTAACTTAGTTGGAAATTGATATGTTAATTTAAAATAGACCATAAGAGTGAAATATCAAAGAATTCAAAAGACGTAACAAATGTATGTTACTACCTTCAATTTTTGTTTATACGTTACGAATTAAAATTAAATTTATTCCGCTACAATTGAAGACAAGGAGGGTACTCTGTCGGAAAAAATATACATACAAGAGGCCTAATTCGAGTTTTGAATTCGCGCATTGTAACAAAAACCAATAAACAGATATATGTTATTTGTTGGTTTTAAAAGCATTGTACGGCAAAAAAGAATCCTCGGTGTTATGGCATAATGCGTATAAAGGTACATTTGGAGCGGATTTATGAAGGAGGCCTCGGTTGGTTTATGATGACAATGCCGCCTCGGAGCGCCGGGAGCACCAGTTCATTTCCTCACTGAAAGTTATAAAAACATATTGAAAATGAGATTCTCACTGTGGAAGACCTAGCGAATGTTATCTTGTTTTGTGATTTGCCTGTTTTTATATACACTCTCTAGAAAGTAAACATCTTTTAGAGAAAAATCTTTGCAATTCATTGTTGCTTATAGCAGTTCTTATTCGTAAATAACCAAACTAAAGTGGATTAATTATTTTTCTTAATTCTTGCAATAGCTCAGCCTATTTTATAAAACATGCTAATTTTAGAATAAGTCTATCGATACGATTAGAAAATCTTTTTGTTCAACCATTTTTATGTATACAATAGGTGATTACATCACAAACGAACAGGTATTAAATATAAAAAGAGTTTTTATTTCTTTATTAACTATTTCTAGACTCTTTAATATACACACAGATGTCTAGATCGTCACAATTATCTTATATTATATACATACAGATTTTCTAATTAAAATTCATACTACGAAATAATATGAAGCAAAATTATTAATATTCTGACATTATACTACCTACAAATTAAACATTTCATTTAATCGGTTAAATATTTATAAAGTTTATTATGCTATACATTAATAAAAAATCAATTCATTAATTTTTATATTAATAGTTTGCTTCAATATTTGTATTATATTTAATTTTTGTTTGTTTTCTGACGATAATTTTGAAAAGAGCAATATTAAGTATACTTTCAGAGTCTAATGTTAATTAATACGTGTTTCTAAAGTCGCGTAGACACGTGAAAATGTCGTATAATTTAGTTAACAAGTTTGTTACTCGGCTTACTTGCCATTTAGCAAAGCTCGCTTTACACAGCGTAGATCTAATTATAACATGTGGAGGTAAACTTACCCTCGAAATTACTCTTTGGACTAATATAAACCTATTCAAACTGATTAGCTCTGAAATTATATTATTATTTAAGCGAATGATATAATAATTCATGTTTCTTAATACAAAATATAATTTTTTAATTATTTATTTAATAATTAAATATAAACGATGGTTGTTTATATGGTATAATCATAAGATCTATAATTTATTATTAACTTACTAAATAATTAAAAATCACCTACACCGATGTATATTATAAATCCAATGAAATTGTTTGTTCTTTTGACTGCATTCGCTAATCTAAAGAACTGCAGGTTCGAATAAAAAAATCTTTTAGTATTGGATAGTGTAAACCTATAGCCAACAGAAGGTTATATATAGTTTTATACATCATTCTATAACCCTATTGGTTAAAGTAAAGAATCAATGAAATTGCTGCTAAAATATGGAAAATTTATTCATTTAGAGAGGAATCAATGTTCCATGGACAACTATATATTTGTATTTCTTACTATTAAATTCAGTGTGTTTAAACTTTTATTATTAGGTTTAAATAATTAAATTAATCTTATCAACTCTTAAAATGCTTAAATATAATTAGTTAAAAGGTGTGAAAATTATTGTATTTTTATTAAAATATTAGTTTCAAATTAATATTGTCCAGCAGTGGACGTCTTCCGGGCTGCGATGATGATGATGATGATTAGTTTCAGATTTCATCATACTTTTAACTCAGATAATATTATGTATGTATGAGGTTCAATACAATACTTACTCTAAATTTAAGACCAGTGAAAAATTAAATTTAGGAATAGTCCATGTAATAAAGTGGTGATATAGTTAGGAATTCTTCAGTGTTCGTTCTATCTCTATTCAGAGACTTTGCATCTCTCCTAACTGAAGCTCAATAGCAATACTTACAATCGAAATTTTGCCGTAAATATTTACGTTCCGTGTACTCAGCTTACTCTATTATTTCAGTAAATGTAAAGATATTTTTTTTAAATTTTTATACTATTGTTGGGCTAAAGATGGGTACTTTTTTTGTAAAATACTAGTTCTTAATTGCGTGTAATTCTAAAATAAGCAAGCTGAAAGAAAATTTTAATATTGTGAAACGTTTCACGCTATTTAAATAAAATTACAAGTGCATTTTGAAATGTCTCTTTACCACTAAATTTGTTGTTTGACTTGCGTTATTGATAATTTATGGACTCACAGTTACATTACATACTTTTATGGATCATGTCTATTTATAACATACTCATACAAAACTTATACGTAGGTAGTCAATAACAGAGACGTTAATGATGTTAAACATAGATTAGGATTAATAATATCGGCTATTGTTATATTTATTTTAGGATATTGCGGTAGTATGCCTTTTGGATAGTAGATCAAATTTTACGTGGGTTAGATCTAAATTTAAATTTTATACAAAACTTTTTTTATTATTCTCCTTATTTTATGGAACTAGAAGGATAAAGAAACTAACGACCCTCTTGGTGGAAGGTAATAAACATCTTTATATAAAACGGCAGCATTACGTGGTAGTTTTCGCTATTCTGCTTCGAAGTGCTGGAATAATATCCCTTCTCCTATAAAGGAATGTTTAACTGTGCAGATTTTAAAAAATAAATAAAAAAAACTACTACTCCTTACTCAAAAAACTTTGCCGTAATGTGTCTGCACTCCAAATACAGGGTAATGGAAGGTGTCTGTTCTGTTAGTATCTCCAGAACATTATGTTTCAGTGTGTAGTTATGTTTGATATTTATTTATATATGCTAGTATGTCGTAAATGTTTACTCTGTGTTATCCGCCTAGATCTATATATGTATGTATATTATTATTATTATATTTATGATATGTATGAAGGTATCCGCAGAATACCAGCGTCGTGGCACCCCATCACGGATCATCACATATGCTGAGCGGAGATCTATTTGGTACTATAATATTATTAAACCAGTATGTAATTTAAAATTTAAATATTAATTTTATTATTGTTATGCACCAAATAAACTATTTTCTTTCTTTACTTTCTTTCTATACACATAATGAGCGCCACCGACATCATCACCGACCACCGACATCGTCATCAAGTGATACTCGTACCATCCCACATGCGTTGCCATTGAAGAAGTAATGTGCTATGCCTTCGTACCCTATAAATCACTGCCATATCCTTACCCTTCAGGTTATAAAGAAACTATACCTATGATTTTCTTTATAATAACAATACATGTAAGGACACCAATCAAACAGCTAATAAAGTGTAGTACAATATCCAAAGTGTAGGTTTAGGTGTCCAGATATCAAATATCTGAACCGGGTCACTGGTTAGAAAAATCATCTATGTAGTAAATATTGCTGTTTATATTTACAGTTTATAAGAGGTTAAGGTTTTGAAAGAAGTGAAATTAATTAGTTAAAATTTGGAATTTAATAATTCTAAGAATAGAAAACATTTTATGTATATTTGTTATTTTAATTTATTGTTGCTCCAAAATTTTGTTACTTAATTTGTACACAAAACAAAATTGTACGTAAGGATTTTTTAAAATTATATTTGGCATACAACAGGGATAAAAAAAAACAAAATAAATCAGTTACGACAGATTCTCTGTCAGGAGGCTGTACTTTAAGACTCCTTCTAATACTACGTTATTTTATGTACCATGAGATATTGTAGACCCTCGACTAAATACATCACAACCACATGATGTAACTAAGTACTCTACATTATACATAGACACGCAGCTTATTGGAATGGCCATAAAACAAAGTTTATAGAGTTCATTTTTGATAAGAAAATTTATAGATATATGTATTTATTCTATAAAATGTTAGCAAAAGTGTAAATATAATGAGGACAATAATATAAATATATTATATATTTAAACAGTTATTAAGTAACATTTAAAAAATAGATAGATATAGAATTATCTTGATTAAAAAATGTCAAAAAGTGAAAATGAAGTACGAGTAAATAAAACAAATGGTGACAAAATTGAAAATCTCGATCATAAGACAAATGTAGCCAATTAGCAATGTCACACTCGAGCGAGTTAAAAGGACGCAAGACAAAGCCATTACTTTATTCGTGTGAAAGCTCACAAGTTGCTGTTTTCTGAGGATGTAGAGGCAAAGATTGTCTCGTCAAGCTGTAGTGAGCTCAGTACAGCGCTCCCCGCGGTTCCGAGCGGACGCATTAGTATCGTGCTACGCCGTAGCGCACCTCCAACCTTCTACGAAAGTTTGAACGCACGTACTTCGAGAATAACATAATATGCCGTACGGTTTGTTATATGGAAGTTAAATAGTTCGCGGTGACATTTTTCAATTGTTTTCTAATGGAATATTGTTGCGAGTGGATATTTTTTTAGAAAGATTCGTAAGTATAGAATTTAAGTAATTAATAGTAATAACTACAAATTCTATTATATTAACAATTTAAATAATGACAAACAATTTCTTGTTATTCTAAAAATCTTGTATTACAAAATATGACATTAATATTTAAAAGTAATAGTTATACGAAAAACGAAAGAAAAGAAAATTACTACAAAAATGTCTTTAGTTACTATTACTTTCAATTAGGTGCACAAAAAAGAATAATAAAACGAGTACATATTGATATATAAGTAGGTCAATTTATAAGCTCTGAAATACTTCTAATTTGGTGTCACAATTGATACTTCCCTGTGAAAATCTGTATAACAAAGAAAATTACTTGAATGATGTATACTTGGGATCCTCTCATTTTATTTCGACGTCCTTTGTTTTGTGTCTGGGCCTCTCGTCAAATCGCTTTATGTAGCCAGTTTCTCGAAGATGAAAGGAAAAATAATTAATAGTAATAATTATGCAATGTTTGAAAATATTGTCTATATCCTTTTGTAATTTATTCATAAAAAGTTAAAGTACTTACATATTTCTTATTAAAAATGGGATATTATCGATGTTGCAACCACATAATATTTTAAATAATTCCAATACTAATCCAATACTCATTATATAACATATACAATTCGTTGTCTAAATCACGCAATACAGATATAGAAATTTGAAAATTCAAATATTGAATTTTAATTAAAATATTTTTTTTACCTCATGTAAGAACAATTTTTTCGCCTTTTATTTTTAACTTTGACAATAATTAATTAGTGCAAATATTGTAACAAAGAATATTATAATAATTACTTCCGTAAAGTTTAATCCTTATAAATTGAAACTTTTTGATTGACATATTGTAAAGACAAAATTGAAAAGGGAATTTTATAATTTTCAAACAATATAATGATATAATCGATACTTTTACAACAATATTCAATAATTGCCCGTGAGATCTTTATATTAAAACTTTTTGAGATTCGAAAAGTTTTTGAACAAAAATCATGTAAAATAAATACAGACAAAATCATAATTTACAAAGTTAAGTCAAGTTTTGTTTAAAAAATATTTAACATCCTATTACTATTTATAATATCTACAATACTATAAATTGACATGTATAATCATATGACTAGTAAATATATAATAAAATATATAGTAAATATAACAACTATAAAGAAAGTAGTTAATATTTTTAAGAAAGTATTTTATATTAATAAAGTCCGTGGCTGCGTATCCTGAAGGGTACCACAATGAGTAAATGAAAACCGCAGCTAAATCAATTAAGCCGCTGCTGAAATTAAATGTGCACAAACGCACAGAAATACAGACAAATTCTGACTATCAATATTTTCTATTAATATATCATTTACAGAAAAAGAATACCATAACTAAAATAAAGTATCATTTCTAAACATGACATACAACTGAAGGTATATTGGAATATTATATTACTTAATGAAGATACGACTAATTTTTTTTTGTTGAACGTTAAAAAATACTTAGTATATTGCAATGTTAAGTAATATACATAAAATACAAAAGTACTGAGTGAATAAAGAACACTGACAAAAAGATGAAGACATTAAATATTTGTAAATAATACTTTACAATCAACTTGTTTACGAATGTTATAAGAGGCATAAATCGTATATTTTCTCTTTGTAAGAAAGATTTGTTTATTTTATTAAAGGTTACGACTACTTAAGACACACGTATATATCTATACGGAGGACATTATGAATGTAAATAAATGGACTAGTAGAAATTACTCAATAACACATACAAAAAAGAACAATATTATTAATAATATACTTACATGTGAAAATATTAACAAACATATGTAGCAGAAAAGTCAGATTTTCTTAATAAAACACGGGTATGAAATATATTATATATATAAAATTCTCGTGTTGTAATGTTAGCTACCGTACTCCTCCGAAACGGCTTGACCGATTTTCATAAAATTTTATATACAATGTACATTGTACATGTTCAGTAGGCCTAAGAAACCCCTAATATTTATTTTTTGGACAATTTTTTTCTTATAAATTGACATTGAAAAATACGTTCTAAATAACCGAATTTACAGGAAACGAAGTTTTATAGAGTTACTTAGTCTATGATGAACAAAGTAAACATAAAACTCTCTGGGTAATCGTTTTTTTTTGTCATTATACAACTAAAGCTATTAACTTTTGTAATCATTTTAGAAATGGCAATTTTGTGGATATAAAATATTATTGTTACTGGAACGGGAACACAACTACTATTTTAATTAAAAATCAAATACTAGTAAAAAATGTGTATTTTCCCAAAAGGGCTCACAGCGAGAAGAAAGTAAAACAATTATTAGTCAAGTGACATATGAAAAATAGATATCAAAAATATAAACTTTAAAAGAATGACAAGCTGCCAGTAACAATAATTAGAATAAAATATTAAATAGAATATTGTTGTTTTTTATATTCAATTCAATTGTACCTCTTAGAGGTTCAAAATCATTAGATCTATATTTCAGAGTAGTTTAAGTGGTGTATCATACTGACAAAGGGGTCTATTTGTATAATTAACTTCAAAATTACTATTTTTATATATCAACAAATCCTATTTAACCCACTACTTCGATACCTTTGAACTTTGTGATATGTAAATTCCGAAGAAACATAGAAACAATTTTCTATAAATATATATAGAAACAAGTTTTCTATAAATATATATATATATTTCACTCTTTTTTAAGCTTTGTTCATGTATGTCTTGAATATTAAAATATAAGTACCATTCCTTAATAGTTTGTTAGAATTAATTATGTTATTTTTTTATTTTATAATAAATGTATTCTAATTAATAATAATAAATTCTAAGGGACTTAATGTATTTATATTATTTTTCTATTGGCATACTTAATAGTAAAATTAAATATTACTAGCGTAGCTGTAATTGTGATATAAATGTGTTCATTAAATTAAATGAATGGAGCTACCGTAAAATATACACTCCGATACAAACATATTGTTAGAACCTATATTTGAATTATCTCTAATAACAATTAGGAAAGTTACATGTTTCTCTGATTTCCAAGTAATGAATTCAAATAGAATATATTATAATACCAGATATAGCTTCAATTATAATATTCTGTATTGTTTACATTAATATATTCCATAATAAATATATTAAACCGTTGGTAACATGAAAGAGCGTTCTATTCTATTTACCAAATAAACAATTTGAGTCGAGCTAGTTTCAAGAACAAACTAGAAACTTTTCAAAATTCCCCTGCATTAATTACCTTAGTCAAACTAAACAATGTAATTTTGACATTGTTAAGTATTCTGTAGACCTAAAATGAAATATTAACAAATAATGACGCAACGAAAATTTAAATAAAACGCCTTGACGCGACGACGCGGTGTTATATTTATGGCACATAAAGCGTACTTTTTTATAGTCCAGAAACCAGGTTGTAAAAACGAAATTGATTAACATGAATTAATTAAGATAAATTTAATACAGAACAGATGGTGTAGATTATGAAAGTGACATTATATTTTTATATTGTGTTGTAGGTAGTATAGACATAGTCAGCTACATAAAGATTGTAGCGATAGGAATAATCAATAGTATGAACTAAATCTTATCTTTGGGCTAATTGAGTTTTTAAAGTTATTTTTACGAAATCAAACCTATTTATCAAATACCTATCTATTATTTAGTATTTTAACAGTAATGTTTATTATGTCATTTTGTTTATTTCTCAATTTTATACTAGGAGACTACTGGGATAATTCACACGACGTTATCTAGTCACAAGTTCAGCACAGTTTGTATATTATATATTTTAAGATACTATTATTTATTGATATTTACTAGCACATAGTTTATAGTTGCAATGTATATTTAATTATATCGTAAATTACTATAATTGACTAAGAGTGTGTAAATATCTAAAATTATATTTATTTCTTAAACCATTTAGAAATATAAATAAAATTAATTAGTCCAATAAATAATACCTAAACAAACAAATACAAAACCACATCATATAGATTCTAGATATACCTACAACTCTCATGACAGATAGACAGTCTGTTAAGACATTATCTAAAACGGCGATCAATTTATCATTAGTTCCCATGTCTATTACCTATACAAGTGCGTTCACTTTTTGTTGGGATTAGTTACTTATAACAGTTATAACAAACCATTTTGTTGGAGTCACGGGTGTCCGACCCGAAAGTTTCCAAGCTCGGAGCGTTCAGTAATTACTTACCGATCAATTGTGGATGTTTATTCCCGAAAACGTTTCGCTAACAAACTTACTAGTAGTTTATGATAGAAAAATCCATATAGTTACATACATTTCTAGAGGTTTATTAGAACAAATATCTGACTGCAATGTATGAAGTGAAAGAGGTTAGCTTTTATTTTAATGCAGAATATATGAGTACATCTTCGATTCAAATTACTTTTAATTTCAAGATCTACAGAAAGAAAATATGAAAAATATACTTAACAGAATTTCAGTTATTTATGTTATATTTCTTTTCATTTATTATAATAATGTTACTATACGAAAACAATAAAAATTAAATATGAAAGATCAAGGCAGTGCTCCAACAAACTTAAGTAAAAACTATCTGTATAATATATTATTGAACATATTTCTCAGTCACATACTATATACCGAAAATATTCACCTCTGTAACAAAATGGAGCTAAAATAGGTATTAGGTATTAAATTCCAAAAAATGTACAATATTCTCTAAATTTAATAATATTCAATAGCAACTCTCATTTCTAATTTTCAGAATAAAGCATTTATTTATATGCTAAAGCAACTATTAAATATAATAAATAATAAACGGAATCTACTAAGTATAAAAATAATTAACGAAATGTAATTTTTGAATAGCACATTAATACTTTATAATTATTGTATGTAACAAACGAATTATGTAGTGTGAGACTACAACAGTGATTGGCAACTGTTGTATA